TATTATGGGTCAAGACCCACAGGGAGACTGGTTGTGAAATACAATTAAATTCTGGGTTTAAACGGTGATACCCCAGTATAAACCATCATAAACCACGTGGTGGCTGTAGTGACAAGTTACTGTTTTGCTGCCATTTGAGCAGAGGTTGGTTGTCAAACCCAGCAGCAGCCCCAAAGCAGAAACATGGGCCCAGTGGGGAAAGCTGGCCTTCTCGCTGGTCTTGGTGGGCACAGTGAAGGGCAGAGAGGCTTGCTCTGTGCCAGGACTTTTTGAGCAAGACAATATCTGGTGTGAAAGGCTGCAGGATTACAGCTTCTAAATAAAGCTCCAAGAGCTGTACCTGTTGCTGTGTGGGGCCAGCAAGCTCTGCCTTATGCAGCCTGAGACTGAGCTGTTATGCTGACTGTCAAATATTTGTCCTCTGCTCCACACTATCGCATTATTAGATGAGTAATTACATCCTGTAGGTTTGTCATGGGCCTATGGAATAAATAACTTGACTTCAGAGAGTTTGTACTGGGTATTGGCAAGAAAGAAGCAAGCCCTAACATGCAAATAATGTGTTTATTTGTCCTGCATTCAGCAGGCAAGTATCTGTCAGGCCATTTGCAAGGGGAATCCCCTGCTCTCTCTACCAGTCCTGCCTCTGTATTTTGCAACCCTGAGGATGGCGAGGCTCCAGCTGCAGGGAGCTAAAGCTTCCTGCCAAACTTTTTTGAGAAGTTCTATTGGTGTAGGAACATCCTGGTTTTATGTATTCTTAGGCATCTCCATCAATAGAGCAGAAAGAAGAGCTTCATTTGAGATGGTCAGTAAAAATTAAAAATATTAATGTGAACAGATAAATCCTCTCCCTGGGTGGATAACAGCTACATACTCACAGGCTGCGAACATTGCCTGATGATATGGGGTTAAGAAAATGTAAATTAATATTTAATTACTTTATCCAAAGTGGAAGAGCTTGGACAGGAGGGAGTCCTATTTCAGAAGCAGTATGGTCTGGATATATGAACTCTCCACGCAAGACTTATATAAGTAAACAAAGTGCTATATGAAGAAACTTCAGGGATGGCTGACAAGAAGCATGTCCAAGTGCTTTGAAACAGTCCAGGGTTTTCCCCAGATTCTGCTCAGGGGCTGGTTTGAGCCCCTGGGGAGAGCAGCCTGCTCAAGGTGACTGATGAAGTGTGAGGTGGGGATGAGTGACTATTTATACACTGACAGTGCACTGCAGATGGAAGGTGAGAGAATGCAGATCCTTAAAAGACTCGTGGGGAAGGAAAGGGAATTTAGTAAGCTGGACTGAAGAAAATAAATAGTGAGATGTCCTGGCATGGTCCACTGCATGACTGGGACGTTCAGTACATCCCGACAAGGAGAGAAACACGTGCCAGAAGGTTCCTGTGCCCGGCTGCCACATCTGCTGGGGCAGGACTGTCAGTGCCTCCCACCACAGACAAGGACACAGAATGAAGCTGTGTGGGAGAGCAGGCCTCTTGCCCTTGATGAGAGTGTTTTTGGCAAGAAAGCCTCTCCCAGCTGCCCCAGGGCTCAGAGGGGTGCAGGTTTCACAGACATCCACAGCACCCTGCTGCACCCAGCCATGTCCTCCTGGTGGGACAGAGCTGCTGGCTTGGTTTGGGGAAGGTGGCTGCTGCTCACTTGGGTGCTCCATGGAGCGGTGGGCTCCACCGTGTTGGAGTCTGGAATACAGAGTGTGTGCCCTTGTTTCTGATACTTAATTTTAAGATCCAGAAAAACACTGAATTTCATATAAGGTGAAATTCATGAGCATGTTTTCATGGTGATACATGAGAACAAATGTTAAAGTTAGATAGAAAAAACTAAAAGTGTAAGTGTGTAGATTAGAAAGTTTTCTTAAATCACTAGGTGAAAAAGTTAGAGAACAAGAGACAAGATGCAGGATTTAAGGTGTTGTCTCTTGTCTGTTCTTCTTTCTTCTTCATGTTCTTCTCCTAGAGGTTTTTGGGTAGCAGTAAGTGATTGGACAAAAAATGCTGCAGTGCAGCACAGAGGTGATGGGTCATTGGGTCATTAAGAAAAATAATATATGTGTCTATTGTTAATTGGGTAAAAATAGGTATAAAGATAAAAGAACTGCGTATTGCAGGGCCATTTTGTGCATCAGACACAAAGTGTGCCACAAGGCCTTGTTTGTACCATCAGAAGAAAGAAATGTTCCAGATTGCAAAGATTAACCTTGTGTAGCCAGCCTGGAGAGACCTTCTAATAAACACAAGAAACAAGATTCTAGTGAGCTCGGGAGTTTTCTTCAAATCATAAGAACTGAGATAAGCAGGGCTCCCCACGAGGGAGGATCCCAAAAGAATTCAGTCCAAAGGAGGCTGAGAAATCCGGGAAGAGACAGAAAATTACAGAAGAAATGCAGCAGAAACAGAAAAACAGAAAAAAGAGTTTTTAGAGAAAAGTTACATGCCGGTGTCCAGCACCTGAGGCCACAGATCCGATGTCACATTTGGGAGAGCGAGGTGGGCGAGCGGTGGCAGCGAGTGGAGGCTGCACTGCCCGGTTCCTCCCGCTTGCAGGAAGAGGTTGGCTACCAGCTGCTAAGCAAGAAAGCAAGTGGAAAACTGTGACCTATAGGAAACTATGTGAGGCATGTCTGGTCTCTGAAGACTACAGATGAGCTGATGATACCAACACTGAAAACAGATGCTAAACTGATTGGAAATTATTTTGGCAGAAAGCCATAGCTGGAGCAGGAGCCCTGGTACAAACAAATTGATGCAAAATGCATCTCAAAGTCTCAGATCTGTTTGATTTTGGGAAAAGAGTGAGCTGTTCTCTCTTTGGCACTGCTGTAGGGCTTTGCACAGGCCACACACCAGTGCATCTTGCTGAAAGCAGTGAGGTACAGGCAGAAAAAGCAGCCAAATGCTGCTTGTGGCACCAGCACCCACTGGGGAAGCAGCATCTTAGTGAAGCTCCTTGGCTGACAGCTCTGGAAGGATAGGAGTAGCACCAATTTCAGCTCCTCCTGCTGCAGGCAGAACTCCTGCACTCATGGTGACACCTCCCCAGAGTCGTGGGTAAACAATGAAAGACTCTGGAGAAATTTTACCAGACCTTGCAAGCTGGAACAGCAAAGAAATACAGGCTGGTAAAAGGTGAAGGCTAGGGGAATGCCAGAACACAATAAAAACTGGAAAAGCCTTTTTCCCTAATCCCCAAAGTTGGGGGTTGAGCCTGTAGTGCCATCAGTACTGCTTCTCTGAAAACCATCCCCTCACAGGGGCAGGGAAGGGAAGCTGGAACCTTTCTAAGGCTGATTTTTTTTTTTGGCAACACACAAGAAACAAATCTAAAACCTGTATTAGGCACCAGAGAAGTGGAATAAATAGCTGTTCATTAAAAAATAAATTTGGGTCAATGTATTGAAATATTAGGAAAAAACACATGGTGACATCATGGACAAAAGCATTCAAATGGGCAGAAACTTAGCTCAGTTGCACCAATGCCTGGAAATGTCTGGTGTACTGCAGCATCTCCTGGAATTCCTCTTCTCAGTCCTCATACTTGTGCTTGATTCTTACTCTACCAGTTGTCAAATGATAAAACTTTTCTCCTCATGGCTAAAATTCAGGGGAAAACTTTGCATAAATGTATTAAAATGATGTTTAAAACCTGTACTCCATGTTTTGCTGTAGTGCTGAATTATGGTCTCATATTGGGCATTTCAATAGCTTTTTTTATTTCCTAGAGGTCAGCAAAACTGCATGCCAGCCCCATGCAGAGCAGGCAGGGTTTCCAGCTGGGCTAAAAGGAAATCAGCCCACTGAAGGTTGCACTCTGCCTCCTTGCATTGGTCATAGCTTTCGTGCTGTGAGCCTGCACTGTGTTTCCCTCTTAAAATCAGAAAACATACTTTTTATCCATACAGATGAACCCTACGGAAAAAGAATATTTAAGGATATTTTGGTTATTACAGAACCTAATGTGTTCTCTTTGACCTTCCCATTTTAACAGCAGCACCTGTGTGTTCCTACAAACCCGACATGCTCAGCACACCAATTTCTTATTTTGAACCATGGATCTAGATTCCTGCAGGGACAGGAATTTAGCAGCCAGTATCACATCCCCTGACCTTTACTAACAAACATGGCAAACTGTCAAAGCTGGGGCTCTTTCTGCAGTTCATCTGGGATCCTGTAATGGCAACAGATTCACTTTTCTAGCCAGCAGAAGTTGCAGTGAGGTGACGCTTGCCTGGGAGGTATCTTTTTGTGCATGGGATTTCTACCAGAAGACATCTGTGCAGCGCTGCTGGTCTGTGTTTGGCTGCTCAGGAGAACGAGGTAGTTTGCAGAAGGGACTGACAACTCATGCTCAGTCCTTGCTGAAGCAAATACAACTCCTGGCTTTTGCAAGGATGATGCTCTAGGGCCAACTGCAATTAGAAGGGCTCAGAATTTCCTGTATCCCATGGGAGACAGGAGCTCTGGCTGAGCAGTGCTGCTGCAATGGGATACATGCACCCCATCCCACCCCTGCCACAGGGCTAGTTAGGCACAGGCAAGGGCTCTTCTGCAGCTGAGAAAATGCCTCTGCCACAGCCCAGCTCTCTCCCTGGTTGTTGCCATTTCACAGAGGGACTTTCCCTTGCTAGAGACACAACTGGGTATCACAGATTTGCTGTCAGGTCCATGCTGACTTCAAATGGAGTAAGAAAAGGGAGAGTGTTGGGGAAGATGAAACAGGGAAACCTTATGAGTATGATTGTTTGGCAAAAGATTCTGAAGGTATGTTCCACCCACATAAGCAGCACCAGTCCTTATCCACATCTCCAGATGACCACACAGGAGTTTCTGAAGTCTTTGAAATCTCTATGGAAGAGATTCAAGTCCAAGGACAAATAATACATGCAATTTGAAAATATGAGTTTCTCTCACACTGCCCAGCTGGGTTTTGTAACTACAGTCTTCACATATTTACACTGTGGCCAAGGACCCACAACCGTGTGCCAGATACAGCTTTTATTCTTGCAGTCTAAACAGGCTTTATGTGTGTTAACATTCTTCATACAAAGATACATACAGGCAGTTTCTGTCAACCAGAAACGTACTGTTTTTGACTGTTCACACAGTACCCATAACAAATGGAGTCCTGAAGAGCACCTTAGGCCCTATACTGTAATAAAAGAACCAAATCCATGCAAGGAGAAAACGAGATTTAAAAGCATGCTTATTTAAAATAAGTTTATTATAATGAAATAATATAAAAGTTTGTCAAAGTCTTAACAATGCTCCAAAAGAAGAGACAGACACTGTATGATTTGAGAGATGATGCAGACTGGAAACCAGAGTATTTCAGACTGAACTGCTTATGACAGCACAATTTGTGCAAAGCTTACACTGAGAGAGGTGATTTGGGGGGCGTGAACAAGCCCTTAGAATTCAATAAATTTAAAGTGTGAGGCAATATACCTTCTTTTCATCTTTAAATGTATTTTGGTATGTATATATTTGAGTATGGAAAGTAAGGCTTACATTAAGCTTAGCTTGACATTGATAAAAATGTATGCCCAAAACTGGCTTCAAAAAAAATAAAAGGAAAAGAAACCATAAAAGCAAGCTGCCTAGGTTTTCAGTTTAATTATTGTATTCTGGAATGCAATTTACTCAGTTTCAAGTAGACATAAATCTCAAACTTTCAACATGACTTTAAATAAAGGAATAAATAACTTTTGGACCCCTTGAATGTTGAAATGCAAAAGAAAGTTGACATACTTAGTGTTAAGCAGAAATAAGGAAACGAAAACAAGGAAGATTCATACTTAAAAAAATCCAGCTTTAGCACATTTGAAGTATGTGGGGGAGAAATCTTACACCAAGAAAGGGGTATTAAAAATGACAATCCAAGACTGCATTTTGAAGAACTGCATGCCAGTGGGATGGTGCACGTGTGTGTGAGTGAAGCATATGCCTATGTCATAACTTCAAAGCAAGTGCTTAAATCCTTGTGTCAACTGTGAGCAGGGTTAGCTATGGCCTGGGTCTGCTCAGAGCCAGTTAAGTGCACTATGACACCCCTCCTGCATGAGGGAGGTTTTATATTGCTTGGAGTAAAAAGAAGTTAGCAGGGTTTGTTCACCAGGGGGCTACAGAACAACGAGGTATGAATTCAGTTTTTTCCACACTGCTTTTGTTTTTGGGACTTTGTTTTGGTTTTTTTTGTTTGTTTTTTTTTTGTTTTCTGCGCTATGTGGGCAAGAGAAGAGAAAGAAGTAAACTAAAACAACAAAATAAAACAACAGAACCAAAAAGCCTTATGCTTTCATTCCTGTGAGGCAGAACACCCAAGTCTGAAATGGCCCAATTTACATTGCCTGCCAAAGAATTCATGTCTGAATATCCAAGTTTATATTTGCATGCCTTACAAATCATCCTGGTTTGTTCTGACAGCAACAGCTTTGATAGCAAAGCAGATGACAATGGAAAAGGAAAGGAAGGACCAGCTGGGAAGAAAGGTCAAGACAGCCAGGTAGGAACATGCTAATGATCTTTCCTGGTGTCTGAAAGGCAGTTAAAGCTTCCCTAAAGGTTTTCACAAAAGCTGAAGTGACAATGAAGAAAGAAAGGGTTAGAAGGTCCAGCATATGGATATACATAGTACTTTTTTCTATAATGGCCCACACCCCTTTGCCAAAGCAGGCTGCAGTCACCTGGGGCAGATTTTGGGCATACTTTTTACATGTCAAACCAACCAAGCAACACTTTTCAAACTAGGAAAGATTTTAAAAGCAAACAGCTGTAACTTAAATCCTGATGATGTTTTACAAAGCTTGTAAGTGAAGGTACATGGCCCTTAACTTTAAATGCATCTGTTAAAGGGAGATCCACAGCACAACAGTGTCAAACAGGGATGTTGGACTCACTATGTTTACACTAAAACACTTGAGTATGCAGTAGTCATATTCTACAATTGAAATGTTACAGAACTTCAATATGAAACTGAATATGGTGTCTTTAAATAGTAGAGGGGACTCCAGAACATAGCTTGTTTAAAAACCAAACCACAAATAAATAAAATAAATAAAAGTGTCCGATTACTAAGCAGAACTTGACTGAAATTGAGAGCTCTGCTCTAATGCCAATGACATTACATAACAAAGATGTGTTCATGATCTCTATTGAAATATGCTGACTGCAATTATCCAGTACTAGATAGCACTTCTATCAGATTGCTTTGGGATTTACCATGTCTCAGCAAGGATGCACACTGTATGGGCACGGCTGTATCAGAGTTCTATGCTCACCTCTACTAACTTCACAAAAAGCAGCCCTACTCCCCCCTAGGGTAAGGCTGTGATTACTCTTATTTTGCCTTGGGTAAGTAAAATCCCTGAGAATATGCAACTGCTAGACATTGAAGGAAACAGCCAAAAGCATTTCTAAAGGAAAGGGATGCAAAACTTCAGACTAGCATAACTTAAGAAACCAAAGCAGTTCATGTGAAGTATACAGAGCTAGGGTTATCTGTTATCTGAGTCACGTGGATCTCTATCAGTGTGTAGGTCAGTTGTTTATAAATGTCAGCCATTAAAAAAAAAAACCAAAAACAAAGAAAACAACCCTAACTAATCAACAAACCAAACAAATGAAGCAGAAAACACCGACCTTCTCTCCAATTCTAAATTTGAAGGCAAAAAATTAGTTGCTTATTCTCTACAATTATTCTAATGAAATGCCATCCTCTCTGCTTGCCAAACTGACACCACAAAAGAAGACAGTGAGTTGTCTGTCAGTGCATTTGCCTCCACTTGGTCATCTGTTCTACTACATCCTGAGAGTGATAACTTGGAGTTCAGCTCTGCAACATGCTGCATATGGGCTTCTTTCTCAGAGGTGGTTTGACTGCAAAGATGGCATTCAGAAGTCTGAGAAGTGCTCAACGCCCTGCAAGAGCAGTGCATGGTGAAGTGCAAGTTTTGAAGGCAGGGAGACCTTGCTCAATTTCTTCTCTGCAAGGGCCCTGTTTAACAACAAGTATAGAGGGGTCTCCTAAAAACGTTCTCAAGCACCAATTCCAGAGTTCAGAAAAAACAACTTTACACAGAAGAGCAAGATGAGAAAGCCTGCTCTGAGGCAGGATGCCATGCTGATTAGAGAATAGGTAATGTGGATCCCTCTCCCTGCTTGTTGGACAACAG